CTGATATTAGGCCCTGACTCACCCTCCGTGGACGAACCTTGCGGAGGAACCCTTAGGTTTTCGGGGCATTGGATTCTCACCAATCCAGATTGGCCCGTTCTGCCATAAGTACCTCCATATTCCGCTGAGTAGAATTCGACAATGGGTTTGAGTAGATGATTGTAAAACTTCCTTTTATCGATCTTGATTCGCGTATAAATTCCCCTTGGGGTAATGCGCCAGGTGCCGTAGCTAATCGAGTAGCTCTAGAAGCATGTGTACAAGCTCGAGATTACTCATAGACCTTACATATTGGAATTTTATATCATTGGTATTCTTTTTCTCTCTTTCTCTTATCCTACCTGAACACTCGGTTTATCAAGTCCATGAATACTGTTGGGGCATTAGTCAGACTGAATGACACGACACGAAACTCAATGTGCCCATATCTGGTCCTGAATGCTGTCTTCGGGATATCTTTCTCCTTAACCCTTACCTGATGGTACCCGGACCTCACATCTATCTTTAAGAAACACTTGGAACCTTGCAACTGATCAAATAAATCATCAATCCTCGGGAATGGGCATTTATTCTTGATCGTCACCTTATTCAACTGTCTATAATCAATACACATCCGAAAGGAACCATCTTTCTTCCTCACAAATAACACAGGTGCTCCCCACGGTGATGTACTAGGTCTGATAAAGCCTTTTTCAAGCAAGTCCCTTAGTTGTTCCTTCAACTTTCTCAGCTCTGCGGCCGCCATCCTATAGGGAGGGATAGATATTGGTTGAGTATCTGGTAGTAGGTCAATAACAAACTCATTTTATCACTCTGGCGGAAGACCCGGAAGCTCATCAGGAAAAACATCGGGAAGCTCATTAACCACAGGGATAGATTGAGCAGTTGGTGACTCTACCTTCACATCCTTTACCCGAACTAAGTGATAAATGTAATCCTTTCTGATAATTTTCCTTGCCTTGAGATAGGAAATAAATCTACCTCTCGGCGATGCCGTATTACCTTTCCACGCTGAAAACGGGCTCTCCTGGAAATTGAAATCGAACCATCTTTGATCTACACTCGATGTTAGCATAACAAAAAGCCAACCAATCCATACTCATTATAACATCAAGTTCTACCCAATCAAATACCACATACCTTATCCTTGTTTATTATCAAATCTATCACGGGCCATTACAGTCCGCATCCATATATATAAGTAACAATATTAAGACTTAACTCGCATAACTAATTTAGAAAAAAGGTTTATATACATAAGGGTCGACAAGGCCGTAGACATGTCATACCCAAAACTATAAACGTGATACTGTCTGCAAAACCTTTAAGAAAATATAACCATAATATATATAAGTCGGGACAGGGCTCCCTACGTCCTCATAAAATAACCTCACATATTCAGAACCCTGGATTGTTAATACTCTAAGAAAAAGTGGAGCTCACCAACCAAAAGCTGACATCTGGAGGAAGTCTACAGTATAGGGTCCTTGCCTCGTCCTATATGAGAGCCTCGATCAGACACACTTCGAAGCGGAATCTTCATATCATTATCAGTTACTTTCCTCCTCTTGGCCTGACTACTATCCTCTTCCTCTACATGTCCCATAATATACGCAGACGAACCTTGATCGACAGACTCCCACGACTATGGACTATCTGGAACCTCAGAAGAACTGGTGTCTATAAATACCTTGACATAGTTTTGAGCCTGAGGGGAACCCGGTTGTGCCAATTCGCGCACCACTCCCCTTATACTCTAATCAACGGGCCCTGATAATGAAACTAAGGGCCTTCGTAAGGTCGAAACTCCTCTCACCCCATCTGCTGCCGGCGAGATCGAAATTGCTCGAACGGACGACTCATATGGATCCTCGGAAGGATCCTCCTCAATAGAACCCATGATCTCCGATGGGTCTGACTCCATAGTGTAACTTATATCTCTTTCTAACACTTTCATAGCCTTCTGACCCGTGCTAGAGGCTTGCTCCTGTCGTCTAGTAGTAACAGCCATCACTAAATATATAAATAAGACAAAGATTAGGAGTGGATACTTACGACTCAGTTTTATCGCACAATCTGGATTAGAAGAAAAAGTAATCACCCTAAATATCCTGTAGCCTCCTGTTTATAAGTGTGGTGCACAACACACCCATAAACAAGACTCTACTAGACACGGTCTGTAGACAACCCTAGGATAGAACTGCTCTGATACCATTTTTGTCACGACCCAAACCGATGGGCCATGACGAGTGCCCGAGTCCTACCTGTCGAACATCTTTTAGCATGTGTCTAAGATATAAACATGAAAAACATTTGCCGAATTACGAGAATAACACACATGAGGGAAAACTATCCAAAAGACATATATACATACACGTGCGAAATACGTAGGGCAAGCCGACAAGGCTGCAATAGACAACTATATATCCAAAACTGGAAGCCGACAAGGACACTACAACCCAGCTATACATGATTGTCTATAGACAGAATATACAACTGTACAAGGACGTGACTGGGCCTCGTCATACCCATATATGTATACGAACATATCGTTCCAAAATCCAAAGCAGCTCCGGATCAAATGGACCACACCAACTCTCGCTGATCAAGGATCCTAAGAAGGGGGCCCGACTGCTTGTCTACCTGCACCTGCAGGCATTAAATGCAGGCCCCGAGAAATAGGGTGTCAATACAAATAACATACTGAATATGTAAGACATAAAAATCAGTACATAACGGATATAGATAAAACATGGAATAAAGAATTCCGCCTGTAAGTCTAAATAACTTTGTAAATCCTGAAACATTTATAATGTCATGCACGTGCCTGTAAATGTTGTGTCATGCATAGGTATAGGTATACATAACATCATCAAGCCTTTGAGGGCATCCCATCATATCATCTCGGCCACTGTGGGCAAAATCATCAACATATACCAGCTGATCAGGTGGTGGTGCGTATATAATGCTGTAACCTTTTCCCGTATCCCCCATATACATATATAACGCCATCTGTTTATGGGTCAATGTACATGTATAAATGAATGCAATCTCTCGGAACGTCATAAGACCATTATGCCTTTGATTAATATCATGAAATAAACTTTATCAACTTACCTATTTTCTGAGACCCATGAACAGACGATAGATCAATAAGACATATGGGAATCAAGAACATAGGAACCTCTAGTATTTCTATGAATAGAGTAATTTATGGAAGTTTTGCATTTGCTCATTTCGTTTGTACTATATGGATCATGCGAAAAGAAAGAAGGGATAGCCTTAACATACCTGAGCCGGTTCTCTGGACAATCCTTCTAACATATGACAATTGCGACAAAACTCGTGACGGCAAGATCGGAGTAGGGAAAAATCCATATGATATTATTGAGAAAGATTGCACCGTACTCCCTTATAATTGCAAAATATCAAGTTGCTTAAGATGCTATGAAATCTTGTTGAATTGCTATGAAATCTTGTTGAAGATGATATGAAAATCTCACGTTACTTATCACATATACATCTCTATTTTAAGTTAAAGATGACTTATGTTAGAATGGATGTGGTCCCCACATGCTAATGACTAAGCTACATATTCTACTTAAATGTGCCACCTCTCGATTATAATTTAAGAGTCATCATTTTGAAATGGGTGGGGGTGGCTGCCACGTTTAAGGCTTATCCAAAGCCTTAATTAAGCACCCACTAATCCTTAATTAACTAGGTAATCTCCCATTATCCAATAATTAACTAATTACCCACATAATTAAGAATTATCTCAAATTACTTAAAATACTACTCACTTAACACACTTTATGTACCCTACTATCATGGTCATGGAGTACCTTGTATGGCACTAGTCCATAAATACCGGGTATTATAGCTCGGATCGTGTTTTATCCCAAATCGACAATCTTCAATGAAACTCATTTTCTTTGATACGTTTACCCCTTAACCTTCGCGGCACTTTACTTATCACCTGTTATAAGTAGCATAAATGCTTATAACCTCAAAAATAATCTCATCCCCGAGTATAAGTCGATTAATTGAAGATGAAACTTTAACGTACTAAAATGCGAGATGTAACACGTACCTAAAAATATACGATGGTACAATAGACTCTGAGGACCATGTGACTCACTATGTCACTGCAGTAAAAGGCAACGACCGTGCCAAAGAGCAAGTATCCTCCATCTTATTTAAAAAGTTTGGTGAAACCCTCATAGGGGACGCATTAACTTGGTATTCACAACTGCCTGCGCGCTCCATTGAAACATTCGAAAAGATGGCCGACAAGTTCATAACGGCCCATGATGGAGCTAAGAAGGTAGAGGCAAGAGTAAATGATATATTTTCCATCAAACAATCACCTGGAGAAGGACTGAGCGACTTCCTCGCTCGATTGAAACGTGTAAGGATGACCTTACCTAATGTACCGGAAGGAATAGCTATAGCAGATTTCCAGACCAGGTTGAACAGAAGCGGTTCAAGGGCGACCATAAAGCTGCTGAGTCGGCTCATGAAATACCTCCCGACCACTTGGGATGAGATATACAATGCCTATTATGCCGAGGTCCGAGCTGATGGAGATGACCTAAATGGACCAACCTAACGGTTGACCTCAGTACAAGCCGAGTCTATAATAGACCAGAGAAACGACAACAGAAGGGATCTAGCAGGTCCACGACCCAATCGAGAAAGACATCATCTATACGTCAGAGGCTCCATCTTGCCGCCCCGCCACGATGAGTGCCCATCCAGACCAAGGCCAGGGACTCACTTGAGCGAGAGAGGTATGCCCCTTACTATCGGCTCACGATTTTTGTATGTCACCTTCAGAAATAGTCTACGCACTAGAGAAGCTCGACCCAAAAGTAAAGTGGCCACAGAAAACGAGGTCCGACCTGAATACCAGGAAGTCAAACGTACTCTGCGAATTCCACCAAGAACGAGGTAATAAAACAAAGGACTGCATCGCTCTAAGACAAGAGGTCGTGAACATGCTTCACCAAGGGCACTTGAAAGAGCTGTTGAGCGACCGGGGAAGGGCCAATTTCGCTCGAGGATGTGAACAGCACCAGGGCCCGCCTAAACCACCTTCTCCAACTCGAACCATTCAAATGATCATCGGAGGGAGAGATGACGCATCGGTCTACAATGTAAAATTCACAACCACCCACAAACTCAAACGGTCGGTCACTCATGAACGGTACGACGAACTCAAAGAAAGTATCGTATTCAATATGTCAGATGCCCATGGTTTGGTCTTTCCTCACTATGATGCTTTTGTTATCATTTTACGCATATTAGATATAGATGTGAGACGTATTATGGTGGACGATGGGAGCAGCACGTGCATTATCCACCCTTGAGTACTTGCACAGCTAAAACTCGAGGATAAGATAGTGCCACGCTGCATCACACTAACTGGTTTTAACAATGTAGTTGAACGAACATCTGGAAAAATCACCTTTCGCGTCCTGGCCGGCGGCGCCACTCTGGAAACCACATTCCATATCAAGGATCAGGACATGGCATACAACGCTATAATAGGTCGGCCTTGGATACACGCCATGAAGGCCATTCCTTCCAACTTGTACCAAGTTATCAAAGTTCCCACCCCATGGGGAGTATTTAGCATCCGAGGAGAACAACGCACTTCCCCAGAATGCTATCGCATCGCCCAGGATTATACATACACCCAACAAGTGAAGGGCAAAGCCAAAGAGGCATAGCAATTAAAAGGGTCGAGGTTGAGCGGTGATGAAAGGAAAGACGTCATCAAAGACCCCGAAATCATAGAGGCCACTGGATCGACCGTAGAAGACCTCGAACCCGTCCAACTTGATGATAGTGACCACATCAAGAAGGCTTACATCGGCCACAAGCTCCAAGAACCAGGTAAATTTCGTCATTTCTTATCTAATAATGTAGACTTGTTTGCCTTTTCCCATGTAGATATGCCGGGTATCCCAAAGGAGATGGCAACACACAAGTTGAATGTCAACCTATTTTATCCCCCGGTAAGGCAAATTAGGCGGAAGTTCAATTCTGCAATAAACGATGCAGTCCGCGAAGAGGTTTGAAAACTACTGGAAAACGGCTCCATCAGAGAATCAAAATACCCCCAGTGGGTCGCCAACGTGGTCATGGTGAAAAAGAAAACTGGAAAATGGCGGATGTGCGTAGACTTCACAGATTTGAACAAAGCATGCCCAAAAGACTCATTCCCGTTGCCCCATATTGACCAGCTCATTGACGCAACCGCCAGGCACGAGCTGTTAAGCTTCCTGGACGGATACTCAGGTTACAACCAAATCCTCATGGAGGAGGAAAACCTGGAGAAGACCACCTTCATCACCCACCAAGGACCGTATTGCTACAGGGTGATGCCTTTCAGACTAAAAAATGCAGGGGCGACGTATCAAAGGTTGGTGACAAAGATGTTCAAATACCAGCTCGAAAAAACCATGGAGTTCTACATACACGACATGTTGGTCAATTCCAAAAGGAAAGAGGATCACATCGACCATCTAAAAGAAGCCTTCGATATACTCAGGCGATACGGAATGAAACTGAATCCCAAAAAGTGCACATTTGGCATGACCTCAGGGAAATTCCTGGGCTTCCTAGTGTCACAGCGAGGCATGGAAGCCAACCCCAACCAAATAAAAGCTATAGAGGGGATACCAGAGAACTTAACTAACAAAAAATAGGTTGAGAGACTAACCGGCCGTATAACCACCTGTCGAGATTCATCTCACAGTCATCCGACAGATGCCACAAGTTTTTTGGCGTACTCAAAAAAGACAACGACCTCCAATGGACCTCGAGTGCGTCGATGCCCTGAAGAAGTTAAAGGCTTACCTATCATCACCGCCACTGCTCTCCAAAGCAGAACCCGGAGAACGTCTACTCGTTTACCTGGCCATATCCGAAGTGGCGGTGAGTGCAGTCCTGGTCCGAGAAAATAAAGGTACCAATATCCCATCTATTACAGTAGCAAAACCTTAGTCTATGCCGAGACAAAGTACCCCCACCTCGAAAAATTAGCCCTGGCCTTGGTCGTAGCTTTACGAAATCTTAGACCCTACTTCCAGTGCCACCCCATCTCGTTAGTCATGACTTTTCCCTTGGGAAGTATTTTGCATAAGCCTGACCTATCGGGCAGATTGGCCAAATGGGCAATAGAATTAAGCAAACATGATATCACATATCAAGCGCGAACGCCGATAAAGTCGCAAGTACTTGCCGACTTCGTCGCCGAATTCAGCACAAAAAAATGCCTGAAGTCGAAAGAGAAGCCGCCAACACCTCCTCTCAAATATAGGATCTATGGATTTTGTATACCGATGGCACCTCTAATGCATCAGGGTCCGAACTAGGACTCATACTCGAGGTCCTGACAGGCAAAGTAATTCCTCAGTCCATAAGATGCCCAGACATGACTAACAATGAGGCCAAGTATAAGGCTGTGATTGCAAGGTTAAGGTTGGCACTCAAGTACGGAGCGAGGCGAGTCGTCCTACGCTGAGACTCTCAACTCGTCATCAACCAAGTCACAAGGACTTTCCAGATCAAAGAGAAAAGGTTACAAAAATATCGGGCCGAGATCTGCATGCTGTTGCCCAAATTTGATGAATGCCAAGTCAACCGGATCCCTCGAGTGCAAAATATCGAAGTAGTCGGCCTCTCCAAATTAGTGGCAGCCACTAAAAGCATAGCTAGAGAAGGAAACATGGTCACCCTCCTCCACTCATCGATCGATAAAATTGAGGTAAGGACTATAAACCTAACTTGGGACTGGCGCAACCATATTGTTACATACTTGTAGGATGGTGTGCTCCCAGATGATAAAAAAGAAGCCAAGAAGCTTCGAATGCAAGCGGCCAGGTACAACATCATAGACGACGACCTATACAAAAGGACGTATGGCGCCCCCTAGCCAAATCCTTAGGCCCAAATCAGACGCGACGCGTTCTAGAAGAGGTCCACGAAGGCCACTGCGGATCTCATTCCGGCAATCAGGCTCTGGTCAGATGTCTCATACGGGTAGGCTACTATTGGCCCACCATGAAAAAGGAGGCCGCTGACTTCGTGAGAAAAATGCGAGTAATGCCAAAAATATGCCCCCATGATCCACCAAGCCGGAGAGAACCTCCACTCACTCACCTAACCTTGGCCTTTCATCAAGAGGGGAATGGACATCGTTGGCCCCCTCCCAGCGGGGCGAGGTAACGTATGATTTCTTTTGGTTTTAACTTACTATTTTTCTAACTAGGTAGAAGCAGGAGCATTCGCCCAGATACGCAAGCAAGAAGTAATCGCCTTCATATGGAAGAATATTGTGTGTCGATTCGGCCTCCCCAAAGAAATTAGTTGTGACAACGGACCCCAATTCACCGAGAATAAGATCGCCGAGTTCTTCAAGAAATGGCATATCAAAAGAATACTCTCCAATCCATACTATTCCGCGGGCAATGGAAAGGGGAGTCCTCCAAAAAATCAATACTGAACATTATGAAGTAAAAGCTCGAGAACGCCAGGGACTATGGCTGGAACTACTACCAGAAGTGCTATGGGCGTACCGCACAATGCCAAAAACGAACACAGGAGAGACACCCTACTCATTAGTCTATGGGACTGATGCAGTAATACCAGTCGAGTTCGGAGAACCAAGTCTGAGATACTCCCATGAGAGCGGGTTGAGGAATGATGAAAGCAAAAGGCAAGACCTCGACGAAGCTGAAGAATGGAGAGATATGGCCTACATAAGGATGATCGCCCAAAAACAACAGGCAGAACGCTACTACAACAAAAAAGCCAAGGTCAGACCACTCAAAGTCGGGGACTACGTACTCAAGGCCAAAACACAGGCAAGCAAAGAGCGGGAGGGCAAGCTGGGAACGAATTGGAATGGCCCATACAAAATCACGGCAGCAGCAAACAAAGGGTCATAGAAACGATGGAAGGAAAACTACTACCAAACAACTGGAACATCGCCCACCTCAAGTACTTTAACTTCTAAGGAAAAATGTTCTCCAAGCCGTACTCTTTTTCCCTCACTTGAGTTTTGTCCCGATTGGATTTTCTCGGGAAGGTTTTTAATTAGGCGACAAGGAGGACATTTCAAGCTAAAGTATGAACAAATGAGGACATAGACTGGTCATTTCATTTCCCAACCTCTCAATACTTCTCCAGGTCCACCAATGAATGGACTAGAAAGACTGGGACTGGAATGACAACCCGAAAAACATGCAAATTTCTCCATTATACATAAGCAAAGCACATAAGTACATGAACTTCGCCCATGTTTTTGCCAAAACAATGTTGCATCAATTAAGCAAAAATGACATTCGACCTCGCTTGAATTAACATACGTTCGACCTTGCTCGAATTAACATACATTCGACCTCGTTTGAATTAGTTAAAGTGACATTCGCCTCGCTCGAATTAACTTACATTTGACCCCGTCCGAATCAACTCACATTCGACCTCGTTCGAATTAAAGTCATATTCGACCTCGTTTGAATTAATTAAGGTGACAATTCGACCTCGTTCGAATTAACTAAGGTCATATTCGACCTCGTTCGAATTAATCCACACTCGACCCTATTCGAGTTAACATCTACTAGCCCAGCCACGACTAAATCCAAAGTTCTTATAGTCAAGGAGACCAAACGATAAAAACATGCAAGACCAAACAGAGAAGATTCAGAAACAAACAGCAGAAATAGCATTCCACATTCAAAAATATATTTTTTACAAGGTCTGAATAGACGCCAGCAAAAGGGAACACAAATTACAAGGGCATAACTATTTAGCAGCACCGTCTCCACCATTGCCCTCGCCATCAGAGTATGCGTCCTCGTACCAAGCACTTGTTCAATCTCGTACAAATCCTCTTTGCCATCACCAGGCCCGGGTGTAGCAGGATCATAACCACAGGCGACTCAAGATGTATGTGCCTTAGCACGAGCATCCTCAAAATCAACCTCAGGGACTCTCCCCACCGTTATCAAATTCTTGAATATGTCTAGTTGGGCCTCAGCGTGGATCCACTTCTCATACAAATCCCGCGGAACATCGGGGTAAGAAAAAGTGTGAGAGGAGGATGGCTGAGCAAACAATTGCGTCTTCTCGACCTCGAGAGCAACGATTTGATCACCAAGGTTCGAAACCTCTTTCTCCAGCCCCCCAATCCGCTTATCAAGTCGTGCCTCCCTGAGCGTGGCCGTCTCCATATCGTCCACCCGTTCAAACCGGGGGACGCGGATTACATCCTCCAATGCCGCCACCTTTTCCAAAGCTGCCAATCGAGCCAACTCAGCTTTCTCCAACTCGGCCGTCTTCTCAACAACTTCATCACTCAAAGCGCCAGCCCTGGTCGAACATTACTTGAGCTCGGCCCGCAAAGATACCACTTGGGTCTGAAGATCCGCACACTCAGCCTCAACTCCCTTGCTCACTTCGAGCTCTTCTTCTTTGTCCCTAAGCGCCCCCTCGAGCTCGCTGCACTTGCTGATGACTTTCACAAGCTCATCATCTTTCTGCTTCAGCTCGTCTCTAATTGCTTGGAAATTACCACTCGTAACAAACTGCCTACAGATCTCGCGGTGCTTGTTGCAGTACTCGTTGTACTTTCTTTCCATATTCTTAAAAGTAGCCCTACGGCTCTCCTCTCGGCGAGCACTCTAAACCTCCAAGAAAATGGTCTATAAGAAAAAGAGCAACA